AAAGTTACAGCCTCGGGGAGCCCTGGAGGCGGTGGCTGCGGCCCAGGAGGAAGCGGCAGTGCCCGGGTAAGCCCGGGTAAGGGCATGCGTTTATATCTCCGTGTGCCCAACTTTCTCATTTACTGGTCTGCCTTTTCGACATCCAGAGCCTCTGTGATTGCTACATTTATTTTTCTTAATCGGGATAGGTAAAATATTTCATGGAATTTAAAGGCTTTTCTTTTCATCAATTTACTTTTGAGTAGTTTTCAACTTGCTTTATTCCGCTGCCGCCTGTTACCAAACCGCATGAATGAATGATGCAATCCTGCATAGGAGAATCATCTGTACAAGATTAGGAAAATCCCCAGAATTTCGCCTTGCAGTGTCCGACTTGGTCGTCTTCTTTCCCATTAGAATTAGAATTTTAAATAAGTACTTACCAGATACATTGTTGTAAAGATACAGCTTCAAGTTGGGAATTAAATAATCCTTTCAATCATTAAACTTATTTACTGTATTTTCTTTATATGTGACTTGCACATTATGGTTACTCTTTAAATATTTGACTGATTGATGTTGGTATGAGGATCAGGGAAGAAAATAATAAAATCCAAGATTTCTGTATTACAACTCCCTGGTACGTTTCAATATAATAATGAGCATAGGCTGTCGCTTTCATGTTGATGAAACAAAGTTGGGACGTTTTAAGTTTTCAAATAATTTGATACATGCCTAATAACTTTTTTTAACCCAACGTTTTATTGATGTATAATTTAATGCAATAGTATGCGCCCATTTTAAGTTTATATTTTAATGACTTTTGACAGTTTTATACAAACTTATAATCACCACCACAACAGAACATTTCCATTACCCCTAAAAGATTCTTAGGGCCTCTTTGCAGTCAGGCTCTCCACCTCTAGCCTACTGACTTGATTTTTGTCATTATATTATTTTTATTTTCTAGGATTTCATATAAATAGAATCATGTTTTATGTACTTTTTTGTGTCTGGCTTCTTTGGGTCAGCACAATGCTTTTATATTTATCCATGTTATAGTGTGTATCAGTAATTCATTCCTTTTTATTTATTTATTTTTTATTTTTTAAAGATTTAAAAGAAATTTTTTTTTCCTTTTTCTCCCCAAAGCCCCCCAGTACATAGTTGTATAGTCTTTGCTGTCGGTCTTTCTAGTTGTGGCATGTGGGACGCTGCCTCAGCGTGGTTTGATGAGCAATGCCATGTCCGCGCCCAGGATTCAAACCAACGAAACACTGGGCTGCCTGCAGCGGAGCGCGTGAACTTAACCACTCGGCCACGGGGCCAGCCCCTCATTCCTTTTTATTGCTAAGTAGTGTTCCATTGTAGGGATATACCTACAATTTTTTTTTTTAATATTTTATTTTTTTTCCTTATTCTCCCCAAAGCCCCCCAGTACATAGCTGTATATTCTTCGTTGTGGGTCCTTCTAGTTGTGGCATGTGGGATGCTGCCTCAGCGTGGTTTGATGAGCAGCGCCACGTCCGCGCCGGGATTCCAACTGACGAAACACTGGGCCGCCTGCAGCGGAGCGTGCAAACTTAACCACTCGGCCACGGGGCCAGCCCCTACCTACAATTTTTAAATTCGTTTATCTGTTGATGGATATTCTAGTTTTGGGCTCTCACAAATAAAGCTGCTGTGAATATGTTTTCATTTCTCTTGGAAATCTCCAGGAGAGGGATTGCTGAGTCTTATGGTAAGCGTATGTTTAACTTTATAAGAAACTGCTAAACTGTTTTCCAAAGTGGTTATACCATTTTACATCTCCACTAGCAATGTATAAGAGTTCCAGTTATTCCATGTTCTCACCAATACTTAGTATTGTTAGTCTTTTTTATTTTAGTCCTTCTTTTGAGTTTATCTTTTGCATATCTTTTTGAAATGTCTATTCAAATCTTTTGCTCATATTTTAATGGATTGTTTGTCTTATTATTGAATGTGAGTTCTTTATTATGGATACAAGTCCTTTGTCAAATATATGTATTGTGAATATTTTCTCCCATTCTGTGGCTTGCCTTTTCTTTCTTTTCCATAATAGTCTTTTTTTTTTTTTGAGGAAGATTAGCCCTGAGCTAACATCTGCTGCCAATCCTCCTGTTTTTGCTGAGGAAGTCTGGCCCTGAGTTAACATCGTGCCCATCTTCCTCTACTTTATATGTGGGACGCCTACCACAGCATGGCTTGCCAAGCGTTGCCATGTCCGAACCCAGGATCCAAACCAGTGAACCCCTGGCCACTGAAGGGGAATGTGCATACCTGACCACTGAGCCACCAGGCGGGCCCCCCAGTACATAGTTGTATATTCTAGGTGTGAGTGCCTCTCGTTGTGCTATGTGGGATGCTGCCTCAATGAGGCTTGACGAGTGGTGCCATGTCTGTGCCCAGGATCCGAACCAGCAAAACCCTGGGCCCCTGAAGTAGAGCACGTGAACTTAACCACTTGGTCCCGGGCTGGCTCCAATAATGGTGTCTTTTGAAGAGCAGAAATTTTTAATTTTGATGAAGCTAATCTATCACTTTTTCCTTTCATTATCCATGCTTTTGGAGTTTTATTTAAGAAATTTTGCCTACCTCAAGGTTGTTTTATTAGTTATCTATTGCTGTATAACAAATTACCCCAAAATTTAGCAGCTTAAAACAACAAACATTTATTTTCTCAGTTTCTGTGAGTCAAAAATCTGAAAGCAGTTTAGCTGGGTGGTGGTTCTGGCTTAGGGTCTCCTAAGAAGTTACTGTTAGCCAAGGTCAATTTATCTGAGTGCTTTATTGGGGAAGGACCTGCTTCCTAGCCCACTCACATGGTTGTTGGCAGGATTCAGTTCCTTGAAACATGTTGGACTGAGGGCCTCAGTTCCTCACTGGCTGTTTGCCGGAGGCCCCCTCAGTTCTGCCACGTGAACCTCTCCATAGGGTAGCTACCAGTGTGACAGTTGCTTTCCCTCAGAGCAAGCAGGGAGCGAGGGCAAGATGGAAGACACATTCTTTATTTTTGTTTTTGAGATTAACTCAAAAAAAAACTTTTGGGGACCGGCTCCATGGCCGAGTGGTTAAGTTCGCGTGTTCCGCTGCGGTGGCCCAGGGTTCGGATCCTGGGCGCAGACAGGGCACCGCTCGTCAGGCCACGTTGAGGCAGCCTCCCACATCCCACACCTAGAAGGACCTGCAACTAAGATATACAACTGTGTATGGGGGGGTTTGGGGAGATAAAGCAGAAAAAAAAAAAAAAAAGATTGGCAACAGTTGTTAGCCCAGGTGCCAATCCTTAAAAACAAAGGAAGATTGGCAACAGTTGTTAGCCCAGGTGCCAATCTTTAAAAAAAAAAAAACTTCTATTTGAAATAATTATGGATTCACAGGAGGTTGCAAAGAAATATGCAGGGAAGTCTCATGTGCTACTTCTTCCCTCATGTCCCTTCCCCTGAGGCCAACCTCCCCAGGAACTAATATTGGCATAGTCCATACAGTTTATTCAGATGTCAGAGTTATACATGCATTCATTTGTGTCAAAGTATAATCTTGCAAGTGATTTCACCTCCGCCTCATTCTGTTCACTGGAAGAGAGTCACTAAATCCAGCTCATGATCAAGGGCAGGGGTTACAGAAGGGTTGGAGACAGGTTCACGAGGGCCATTTCAGAGGCTGCCTACCGTGGTTGTGAAATTTTTCTCCTATGTTTTAGAAGTTTTATACTTTTAGCTTTGTGTTTAGGTCTTGATTCATTTCGGGTTAGTTTTTGGTATTGGACTGCAGATTAGGGAAGAATATCAGTTCCGGGCTTTCTATATTTTATTACAACTACCAGGTAGGATTTCAATATAATAATAATCATAGTCTTGTCCTTTTCATGTTGGTGAAACAAAATAGAAGGGACTTTTTAAATTTTCAAATGACTTGATATATCCCCAGTTAAACAAAAGTCAAGTAGCAATGTATGAATTCCAAATTGGAAGAGAAATAGGGCAGGCCTCTATAATTAAAACAATTCTCTTTTAGATGTAAATGGCATCAGAGGAGAACGAGTAAACTATATTAAAGAAGCAAATTGGAAATATTCCTTTTGTTGTCCTGCCATTCTGGGCAGTGAGTCCTCTCTTAGGAGCGGCAGCTTCCAGGGAGCCCGCTGTAGGCTACAGCTCGCCCTGGCTTGTAGGGGAGCGGGATTCAGACGACCTGCCAAAGCCAGTCATGCTCAGCAGAGTGGGAAAAGCAATGCTAGACTTTTATCCCCAGGTACAGGGCTTTGAGTACGACTTGTACTTTTCTTCCTTCACAAGAGTATTGTCTATGTGACTCGGCTGAGCGGAAGGGTACACTGAACACTTTGAGTCACTAAGGACTGTGTTTGAACCTTCTGAATTATACATTTCCTTTACTGTAAGGAGGCATTCTGACTCCCTTCCTTTTCAATCTCTGCTTTGCTTTCTCTTGCCTCATGTTCTCTAGTTTTTTTAAGTCTTTTTTTCTGTGTGATATTTAGCACCTTTATCTGTTTACAGTTTTAATTAGAATTAGAATTCAAAGTTGGCTTTGTTCGCTCGGTGTTGGGCAGCAGGACTCTTCTCCAGCTGTTCTTAGAATGCTGTTGACTCTGTCTCCTCGTGTTGAAGACAGCAGGGATTGCTTTGTAGAGTCTGTATTGCACCTGAGTCGGCTTTGTATTTGCATTTTGTTCTCACAATAGATCTTCTTTCTCTTTCTCTCGCCTTTGTGCCCTGCTAATCAGGTGTAGGTGATTTCCTATCAGACCTGAAGCTTTTTCAGAATCAAAGCCACAGAACAGAGTGTGTTTACTCCTCTCCGATGCCTGAAGGAGGTGGGAGTGCAGTGTGTTCCAGGGGAAACCGTCTTAAGAAACTTTGCATCTAATCCTTCTTTGTACTGGTCCTACTAGGAGGGAGAGTGAAGCCAGACTGTCTTCCTCTTTCTTCTCATGTTATCTGGACCTTGATGTTCATTTCCTTGTTCTCTCTTTCTAGGCTGTTCTTGCTTTTGCGGAATTCACAACATCTCTCTTAAAGAAATTTGTAGTCAGAACTTTATGCTGCATTTTTATTCAGGAAAGAAGTGGAAGAGAAGAGTATCAGCTCCTAAGAATCCAGCTCTGGAGAAACGTGAGTGTTTTGTTGTTGTCATTGTCATTGTTATAATTTTTTGTCTATCAGCAGTTTACTTTTCACCTGAATAAAAAAAATTGTCTGCTATAACCTGTGTAGTATGCATAAAATCTCAGGTTCCCTGAAGAATAGCTGTTCCTTTTTTATCATAAAATGTACTATAAATTTGTTGGTCAGGAACCCTAGTCCTAGTTATCGGGAGGCTCCTTGACTGTCCTCTGATCCAGAAGCTTCTCAGACTCCTTTGTGAATTGTTTCAGTGCCCAGAGGTCCTGAAACAGACTTGCTCCTACTACCAACGCCTCCCCAGATGATGTCCCTCTGAGTCCAGTAAGCTTTGTTCTCTAGGCTGTGCTCAACCTCCACAATCTCTGTGCCAGCTTGTATTTGTCCTTACACTGGTGAAGGTAAGAGGTCAATCCTAACAAAAGGGGCAGTTGGTGAAGGTGATCTTAGATGCTTCTTGCGAGATATGTAGATGGAGAAGTTGGAAGAGAGTTTGTTTGGGTGAGGAGGTTTTTTCCTCTTATCCAAAAATCAGACCTCTTAAGTCTAACCCTGAAGGAAAGCTTGCTTTTGTACTTTTGGAGCTGGGAGTGGAAAGGGGTTGTCAGCAGTGGTTTCTTTACCAGTTGGCCCTCTGCTTCCCCAGATGGACCAGCTGGCGGCCACGCAGGCTAGAGTCCCGTTTGGAGCTGCAGAAGGCAGTGGTTCAGTGGTGGGGACTGGGCCTGGGAGCTGCCATGTCTAAGTACAGAGCCTTCCACCAGGATTTCTTCCATCCCCAGTCCTGTCTGCCCATCCCCCAAGGGCCAGGTATGAGGGATCCAGAGTCCATTCTCCAGCAACGATTTTTCTTTGTGTGAAATTCTAATGTAAACAATTTACTTTGAAACAACTGAACTTACTCAGCAGATTTTTTTCCACCTGTAGCTGTGAGAAGTTTGAATATGCATGAATTGTGAGTCATTCTTGGGGGAGACAATGAAAAAAGAGGGAACTGGAAGTGAAGAAGGAGGCAGGGCATTTTACAATGCAGGTTGGGAAACTAAAGGAAGCTGAGGCTGTTTGCTCTGCAGGCTACGCAGGGAGTTGAAACTCATGTAACCCTAGGGGTGGAGGGCATATGCCCTGGCATGAGCATTTCATGGCAAAGCTAAGGCCATATAATCCAGCTCTGTCTCTTAAGGAGGGCATGGAGAAAGAACAGGCCCTCCAAGTAAGTTCAGTGTAATATTTGTCTCAAACATCCTATTTTCTCTGTCTTTGGAATCACAGTGCAACCTGGGAGGCAGGTGTCAGCAATTCTGAGTCATAAGTCAGGACTAGCGTTCTTCTGGGGATATGGAAATCAGTCCTCACTTTATTTGAGGAAGTGTACGTTTCCTTTCGTATTTGAGGCTGATGGTCTGATTGAAACTATTGCTGATATTAGTGGTTGGAAAGAGGCTCAAATCGCTGGTTTTCGAACATGTGCAGTAATGCTTTGTCTGATCATGTCAGCAAGACTGGGAGCTTCTTAAAGATGGTGCTCATTCTCTATTTCCGAGGACCTGTGCTAGGCACGGAGTGGCATTTGTCTTCTTACTAGCTTTGAGGCTTCAGGAGCCTGTCAGTCATTCTCAGGAGAATTGTCCATTCTTAGTTATATTGTATTGCCTCATGCACTTTCTTAAAAGATTCTTTAGCCTGTCCCATTTATCTCATTTTAGCCTCTCTTAGATCATTTGTTTGTCTATTCCTGGCTTTCTCTCCATTTACATGTGGCTTATTCTCCATGCTCAGTGTAATTGCATTGCATTAAGCACTGCTACTCTGCTGATAGGCAGCTGTCTTATAGACTTTTATAGTGAGCCTGCCCAACCCTGTCATGTGAATTAACTTGATTCCCTCTTGACTAGAGCCAACTTGGTGGTTTCTGAGCCACAGAGAGAGTGGGATATGGAGGTCCTTGGAGCTCTCTGGCTTCATAGGAATTTGATAATTTATTAAATCTGTTCCTATTTGCTGGTCTTTCCAAAAATGTGTGGACTTTCTGCTTTCACTGTTAATGAATTATCGCCCATTGGGTTGTCCAACTAGGAGAACTTTGGTCTAAATCCTTGATGAAAATCTTTGACATTTCCTGGGTCCACATTAGGTTCTCTTCAGTTCTTAACCTTATTTAGTTCTGCTTAATTTATCCTCCTGTTTTATGTTGTCTCTGTGCATTTGAGATCCAAGTTTTAGTTCTTATCCATCTCTTAGGAGCTGTGTGACCTTGGGTAAAGCACTTAGCTTCCTTATACCTCTTTTAGTTAATCTATGAAATAGACACAAAATTGTTCCTACAGAAAGGTGTGGGACCAGACCCAAATGATGGCTTTGAGGTTTCTTCCAACTTCAGAATATGTGATGTTGATTCTGTTTCACTAGTATTTTCGTCATTGCTGGTTAAGGATTTTAATTTTAGGCTAATAGTGCACTAAACTGGAATTGATTTGTGGAGAACAGTAATCTACTCAATACTGTGTTAAGTTCTCAATAACTGCTTACATTCAACTCTAATCGGTGAGACACCTTACTTAACACCTACTGGGTGCTGGAGACAGAGATAGAAAGATAATTCAGTCAAAGTGCCCATCCTGAAGGAACTCACGTTCTAGGAGAGGAATGGGAGTGATTAATTCTCTGAGAGGAGGGGAAGGAGGGGATGGTGTAGAATAGGGAAGGTCGTTTAATCTGCACCTTGAAGAATAAATAGGAATTTGCCCATTAGACATGAGGGATTAGGTTTTTTCAGACAGAGAAAACAGCATTTGCAAAGGTGTGGAGGAATGAAAGACCATGACATATTTAAGGAACAAGAAGTCCTCTGTATTCTTTGAGCATAAATTGTGTGTGAGTGTGTATGTGTGCATTTGTTGGAGGAGCACAGCAATGGGGGAATAGATTGGTGAAACAGATAGAATCCAAATCATGAAGGGCATAAACCAATTGAATAACAGAGACATTATGTTAATTTATATGCTAACGATGGGGAATGGATTAGCACGGGCATCTCGAGGTCTGATATGATTAAAACCTGATTTTTTATTTTTTAAATTTTTAAAATTTTATTTATTTATTTATTTTGAGGAAGATTAGCCCTGAGCTAACTGCTGCCAATCCTCCTGTTTTTGCTGAGGAAGACTGGCCCTGAGCTAACATCTGTGCCCATCTTCCTCTACTTTCTATGTGGGACACCTACCACAGTATGGCATGCCAAGCGGTGCCATGTCCGCACCTGGGATCAGAACTGGGGAACCCCAGGCCGCCGAAGTGGAACATGCACACTTAACCACTGCGCCACTGGGGCAGCCCCTAAGAACCTGATTTGACCTGATTAAATTCTAGAATCCTCAGCAGCCAAACCTGAATACAGGCAGGTACAGTATAGTTAAAAGTAAAATGCCAATGACTATGTTAAAAAATATCTTTACCTTTTAGAAATATAAACTGAAATATTTTTGTATGAAATGATACGATTTGCTTTGAGATAATGAGGGAAGGTGGAAGTGTGTGGATGTGATATTGTAATTTAGATTTATAATAAGAAGCATATATTTGGTCTTCATCCCCATGTCTGGCACAAAGCTCCTAAAACCCCTGGAATTTCCTGTGATGAGAGCGATAAAGGTGTCTCTTGCTATGTTAATGGGTGACTTTTGGACTGGACCTACCGATGGGGGCTGTTTGTCAGGAGAGCAAACCATGTGATGAGAGAGTTGGAACTTTCAGTCTCACCTCCTGACCTCTGGGAAGAGGAGACGGCTGGGAGATGAGTTCAGTCACCAATGGCAGTGATTTAATCAATCGTGCCTTTGTAATGAAGGCTCCAGAAACACCCAAAAGGATGTGTTCGAAGAGCTTCAGCGTTGGTGAATACATGGAGATATGGGGAGAGTGGACTACCTGGAGGGGGCATGGAAGCTCTGTGCCCCTTCCCACATACCTCGCCCTATGCCTTTCTTCCACTTGGCTGTTCCTGACTTATATCCTTTTATAATAAATCAACGATGTATAAATAAGTAAATAAAATATTTTGCTGAGTTCTGTGAGCTGCTCTAGCAAATTAATCAAACCTAAGGAGGGAGTCCTGGGAACTTCCAATCTATAGCTAGTCCATCAGAAGCACAGGTGACAACCTGGACTTGCAACTGGCATGTGAAGTGTGTGTGTCAGGGCTCAGTTTTGTGGGACTGAACCATTAGCCTGTGGAATCTGATGCTCTCTCTGGGTGGCTTGTGTCAGAACTGAGTTGAATTGTAGGACACCCTGCTGGTGTCCTAGAATTGCTTGGATGTGTGGGAACTCTCCCCCTCAAGTTAAAGTTGGGGTGCAGAATTATTTTTAGTGGGTTGTTGATGAAGCAGGGTTTGCTATGCTTGTTGAAGCAGGATGATGAATACATGGAGTTCATGTATTCATTCTATTTTTGCATGTATTTGAAATTTTCCACAATAAAAAGTTAAAAAGTGGTTACTTGTGTGTATGTAATTCACAATTATATCATTTTTGTTTATTCATTCACCCTTCAGAAATTAATTGAGCATCTACTCACTATGGGTATTTTGGAAAATTCTGGATCTTAGTATAAAGAGCCTCCAATCCAGGAAATGAAAGTGACATGCACATGAATAAATTTAAGATAAGTTGGCATATTATGAATTCTGTATATTAAAAACAGGTCTACATAAAGTACTGTGGAAGTTCTGGGAAGAATTTTTTCCAGCTCAGCAGAATCAGAAAAGACTTACAGTGAAGATGGCATTTGAGCTTTATTCTTTCACTTAATTCAACAAATATTATTGAGCCCCACTATGTGCCAGGTACTATTCTCAATCCTAAGGATCTAGCAGTGAACAAAGCTGATAAAGATCCTACTATTCTGAAATTTATATCTTAATTAGGACGGATAGACAATACATATATATAATAAGTACATTTTATTATATGCTAGAAGATGATAGATTGTTACAGAAGAAAGAAAAAGTAGGGCCTAGTGAGGGAGATTAGTAATGTTGGGAGTAACGATAGGGGAGGGGGAGGTTGCCATGATAAACAGGGTTGTCAGGGTTGGCTCATTGAAGAAGGTGATATTTGGGCAAACTCTTGTTGAGGGAATTGGCCAAGTGGCTATCTGAGTGAAGGACATTCCCACCGAGGGCACAGCTGGAGCAAAGGCCCTAAGTGGGGAGACTACATAGTGTATTTGCAGAACAGCAAGAGAACCAGTGAGGTTAGAGCAGAGTGAGCTAGGGGGAGAGGTGTAGGAAATGAAGTCAGAGATGAAATGGGGAGGGCATGGTGGTGGTGGTGCCAGTGTTGGAGGGCAGACCTTATGGGTAATCATAAGAACTTTGGCTTTTACTTTTAGCAAAATGAGGAGCCACTGAAGGATTTTGAGATAGAGATGTGACATGATTTGGCTTATACTTTACAATCATTACTCTGGCTGTTATGTTGAGAACAAATACTGGGGTGGGGGACCTTTTAGTAGACTATTGGTACAATCTTGGCAAGAAACATTGGTGGCTCAGGCTAGATAGCAGTGGATATGATGGAAGTGGTCAGATTTTGGTTAGATTTTAAAGGTAGAACCAACAGAATTTCCTGAAAGATTGGATGTGGGATTTGACAGAAAGAGAAATGTCAAGGATGAACGGAGAATGGAGGTGCCATCAAGGGAGAGAAGGAAGGCTGCCAGAATGGCAGTTTTTTGTTGGGAGGGGAGATCAGGAGTTCAGTTTTGGACATTTTAAGCTTGGGGTGTTTACTAAACATCTGAGTGAAAGGTAGGTAATTGGAGTTTAGAGTTTGGGAGAGAGGACTGGGTTACAGGTATACATTTGGGAGTTACTGTTATAGAGATGACATTTAAAGCCATGAGCCTGGATGAATTCAAGGGAGTGAGTATAGGTGGAGAAGACCAAGGATGGGCTGTGGGTCATTAAGAGAACAGAAGAGAACCAACCAGCAAAGGAGCTCAGCCTCAATGAGGGGACAATATGTGAACCTGGGAAGTCAGAGTTGAGGGATTAGCTTGAACAAGAGCATGATGGTGGGGAGAAAAACAGATTGCAGATAACCAGTAGCATATGTGTGTTTTTGTAGTTTCTGTTGAATGGAAACTTTATTCACATTTATATGGGTAATGCAGAGTTTAAGATTCTGCTAACTGGATTCATTAATTTATCCTCTTTCCCCTTTTTAGTGGGTCTCCAATGAAACTCATGTTTCCTATTTGGACTACTCTCTTGTATAGGCTCATAAAAAGGGTTGGCTTTTTTTTTTTTTTTTTTTTCAAAGTTTGGCCCTGAGCTAACATCTGTTACCACTCTTATTTTTTTTTCCTTCTCCCCAAAGCCCCCCAGTACATAGTTGTGTATTCTAGTTGTGGGTCCTTCTAGTTCTGCTAGGTGGGATGCGGCCTCAGCATGGCTTGATGAGCGGTGCCATGTTGGCGCCCAGGATCCTAACCAGTGAAACCCTGGGACACCAAAGCAGAGCCAGTGAACTTAATCACTCGGCCACAGGACCGGTCCCAATGGTTGGCAATTTTTAAAGGACCAGTTAGTAAATATTTTAGGCTTTGCGTGCTGTACAGTCTGTTGCAGCTACTCATCTGTTGTAATGTGGAAGCATCTATAGACATATAAACAAATGAACATGGCTGTGTTCTAATAAAACTTTATCTGTGGACACCGAATTTTGAATTTCATGTAGTTTTCATGTGTTACAAAATATTCTATTGATTTATTTCAACTATTATGTAAAATGTAAAAATCATTCTTACTTCATAAGCTGTACAAAAACAGGTGGCAGGCTGGATTTGGTCTACTGGCTGTAGTTTAACCCCTGGCTTAAAAGATTTTTTTCCCAGGTCAGCTTTGAGCTGGATCATTCTGCCAAATGCATTGGTTAGAAATCAGTTATGAATTGGGTTGGCCAGCTCCTTTTTTTTTGAGGAGGAGGATTAGCCCTGAGCTAACAACATCTGCTGCCAATCCTCCTGTTTTTGCTGAGGAAGACAGGCCCTGAGCTAACATCTGTGCCCATCTTCTTCTACTTTATATGTGGGATGCCTCCACAGCATGGTTTTTGCCAAGTGGTGCCATGTCCACACCCGGGACCAGAACCAGCGAACCCTGGGTCACCGAAGAGAAACATATGCACTTAACCGCTGTGCCACCGGGCTGGCCCCTGGCCAGCTCCTTTGAGTCTGTTTTCAACCACTATCTATTCTAAATATAGTTAATTTGCATAACCTGTGTGGCCTTGTACGTGACATATTAGTCTCTTTGATGGGAGTCTAGTCTAGGTGACCTCTAGGATCCTATTCACCCTCGTGATTCTAGTCCAGTGATTTTCTAAAAAATGAAAAAACTCAAAATTCTTTTTGAAACTCTGTCCTCCATAGCTTCTGCAGCACTGTGGTCTCCCAGAGTTTCTTCCGGTGACCTTTCCTTTTCATTTTCCTTCCCAGGCTCCTGACTTGAAGGTTCCGTTCCTGCGGGCTTGGTTTCCAGCCCTCTTCGTTTCTCCTTCTCTACTTTCTCTTGTGACTTTCGTCAGGCCATGCCTTCAATTACCGCCTCTACACGGGCAACTAACAAATGTGTATGTTTAACTCTGATCTCTCTTCTGAAGCGGAAAGCCTTTCAAGGTTTCTCATCACCTAGAAGTTAAAATGCAAGCTCCTTAGCCTGGCCCAAGGCCCTGCTTGGTCTGAACTCCTCGTGCACTGCCTGGCAGCTGGTCTGAGCTATTGGGCAGCTTCCAGCACGTCATCCATCATTCTTCCTCCTTGCTTTTGCCCATGCTCTTCCCTCTGCCATCACTACCTTCTTTCCTTGCTGTCATCTCTCTCCCCCTTACTCCCAGCACACACCAAATTGATACCCTGCCCTTTGAGAACCCACTCAGAGGGCCACTTACCCTTCAAGATTCAGTGCAAATGCCTGTCCCTCCTGGAAGCCCTTTTCATAGACAAGGTTAAGCATTTTCTCTTTGTGCCCATAATATCACATGCACATTTCCATTGTAGCACTTGCCTTATTGCTATAATTGTTAGGTCAAAAATAGTTGAATAGTGGTTAAATATCAAATATATTTACAAGTTGGTACCTTCACTGGACTGAGTTCCTGGGAACAGAGTTTTGGTCCTGCTCATTTTTGTAACCCCAGAGCCTGACATTTAGAAGGTGCTTAAATTGTGTTAAAAAAATGAATGACTCCGTGCTTATGAGGTCTACACTGACTGTGATACAAATCAAAGCATGTTGACAATAGTAGGCAAAATTGGACCTTTTCATGATTGTATTTTATGTCTTTAACTATATTTATCTCTTTCTGTTGTAGGATGGTCTCCCATTCAGAGTTGAGGGAGCTTTTCTGTGCAGCTGATGCAGTATGCTTCGATGTTGATAGCACAGTCATCAGAGAAGAAGGAATTGATGAACTGGCCAAATTCTGTGGAGTTGAGGATGCTGTGTCAGAAATGTAGGAACAGTATTTATTCACTTTATGAAATGATCAAGAATTGCAAAAGAGAGTGATTTTTGGATGACATGCAGGACCAGAGCCACAATTCCCTGATTCAGTCCCTGGCTATGGAACATAAGCACTAGGCTTTTTCTTCCATCACTTAGAGCTGAATTTGGTAGTATACATTATCCAATCCTCCATTTATACAAATATTTATGGCAAAAAAAAAATAGTTGTCTCTGACAGACAAATGTGGATAAGATACACTCTTAGCTTGGTCAGGGGAACAATGACCATAACTAACCAAAGAAGATGGCCGGGGGGGTAGAGGAGGCTCCAGGTGTCCAGTGCTTTGTGTCGTGGTTGACACTGTGGCCTTAGTGGTTTGCTGGGAAGCTAGTTTTGGTTCAGAATCTCTCAGTGGGATGCCTAGGTGAGAGCCCCGCTCTCCCTCCTGTCCCCCCCAGTACCACCTGCATTCACCTGGTCATGGACCATTTCATGTTCAGCTGCATTTGATGCAAGACATGGTTCCAAAATATTATTGTGATTCTCAAGCAAACCTTCAATAGTTTATTCCCAGGCCTCGCTCCCATGCATCATAGCGTGTCTGTTGTGCAGTGGGGCTCTAGGCAGCACCTTCCTCATGAGTGGACATTGTGAGGAGCTGGGGAGGTTAGGCATGTAAACTTCGACGACAGCTAACTTGTCTGGCCTGACTGTTGGGTCTTCCTCCTAGGACACGGCGAGCCATGGGTGGGGCAGTGCCTTTCAAGGCTGCCCTCACAGAGCGCCTATCTCTGATCCAGCCCTCCAGGGAACAGGTGCAAAGGCTCATAGCAGAGCACCCCCCACACCTGACCCCTGGTATAAGGTAAGAGGAGCCCCGGTCTGGGTACTGTCTCCCTAGCAGCACCTGCGTCCTCCTGAGAGTATCTCACTATTGTTGAAGAACTCCCTTCCCTGTGGTTCTTTCAGCACTTACATATGGTCTTGTGTGGCTGGTTGGTCCTGCCCGTGTCTGCCCTCCCTCTCTCCCCAGAGAGAGCTTAAGCCTCCTCTTCATTTTGTGTTTCTAGATCCATGGGCAGAATAGAGTTGTGGAATGGTTTCCTAAAGCAGTCAAGCCTCACCCATTAATTTCGAATGCGTTTAGAAAAACATATATAAAACATTAATTCACCAGGCAATATACCTTGTCCAGTGTACCTCAGGCAAATGCATTCAGGAGAAAAAAATATTTTAGTTTCCTTTTCATGTTTCATGTTTTCTCTTTTGTATTAATCAGTGTTTGGTATTTTATGTTTCTTTTTTGCAGGGAGCTAGTAAGTCGCCTTCAAGAGCGAAATGTTCAGGTTTTCCTAATATCTGGTGGCTTCAGGAGCATTGTAGAGCATGTAGCTTCAAAGCTCAACATCCCTCCAACCAATGTATTTGCCAACAGGCTGAAATTCTACTTTAATGGTAAGACTTTAATGGTAACATTTTCCCTTTCATATCAGTTTTTGTATTCAATATCCTAGGTAATGTCTGTTGTAATACAACTTAGGCAAAGTGGCTTTGGAGTTAAATATTCAGATAAAAGATTCTCTTGACTGATGTCTTTTGCTCCTTGGTATCCTTTGCTCTGCAAAATAGACTTAGGTCATCATCTCTCCTCGCTTTAGTATCCATATAATTGTCTATCTCTATATAAATGTCTGTGCCTGGTAAAATGTTAATGTTAATTCCTATATAACCCACATTACTTATTTTGCTATGCATTATATTTCAATTTTATGAGAGCTGTCATGTATTTGAGCCAGTTTAGACTCAGGAAGGAGAGTTAATGTGTTAGCAAGTCACTGCACTATAGCTGCCTTTCAAGATGCCTCCTGGCCCCTCTCTGGACTACCACAGAGCCATAGCTGTAGTTTTCTATCATCTCAAGATGTTTCCAATGACATCAAAGGGTGGCTGACATTCTTAAAACCAAATAATATTAATTTAAAAATTTTAAATGTGTTAATAGAACACTTTTTTTTTTTTAGATTGGCACCTGAGCTAACTACTGTTGCCAATCTTTTTTTCTCTGCTTTATTTTCTCCCCAAATCCCCCCAGTACATAGCTGTATATTTTAGTTGTGGGTCCTTCTAGTTGTGGCATATGGGATGCCACCTCAGCATGGCCTAATGAGCGGTGCCATGTCCGTGCCCAGGATGCGAACCGGCAAAACCCTGGGCCGCTGAAGCGGAGCATGCAAACTTAACCACTTGGCCACGGGGCCGGCCCCAATAGAACACTTTTGAAGGAACTACAGATAGAGATCATTTGAAAAAAAGTAGAGAATGAGTGTGGTAATTACTATAAGAATGGAAATAATCGATCAAATATAACTTGAAATTTCCTCTTAGATGAAATTATATATTAACTTATTTTAAATTTAATATATTCATGGTGTTCTGCCACCCAACAAGGTTTAAGAATTACTACACTGGAAGCTTAAAAGATAAAACTAATTTACCCCAAGGTGTGTATTACCTAAAGGAGTAACCTCTACAAGAAGTATTTGTAATTTAAAAGAAAAGCTTGTTTATTCTGAGGAATAGGTGTGGAAGTCCAGGCTGTGTCACTTTACTGAGGGCCATGTTTAGCTTCCTCAGTGACATTTAAGTGAGTATATCATCTATGCAAAAAGCAGGCCCTACTGATACAATTCTGAGGCTCTTTAACATTGTTTTAACTTCTCTTTTTAGGTGAATATGCAGGTTTTGATGAGATGCAGCCAACAGCTGAATCTGGTGGGAAAGGAAAAGTTATTAAACTTTTAAAGGAAAAATTTCATTTTAAGAAAATAGTCATGATTGGAGATGGAGCTACAGACATGGAAGCCTGTCCTCCTGCTGTATGTATTAAGTGGACTAACATTTTTCCGGTTGTATTTTTGCTTTAGACAGGTGATGTAGAACTCAGTAAGATTTACAAGAGTTAAACAAAAACATCTAAGTATCATTGTAAAATAGAAAAACAAAAGAAAACAAATACAATCTCAATACGTCGATTGACTTTTTTGCAAACCCAAGAAAGGTTGCAAATAAGGAACTAAAAACCTTTAAAACTTTCATTGACTCTTGTCTCTACAGTATGGCCACCACCTTTTAGCCCAAGTATGTGCTCGACAAGGTTGAGCTTCATTTCCCCAAATAGTTCCACAGATAAGAATGTGGCTCTTATAGCTGTAACCGAAACGTCAATGCCCTTTTATATTTGATAAACTATTTCCTCATATATTATCTTATTTTGTCCTCAGAATGGCCCTGTGAGGTAAAGTATTATCTTCTCCTTTTTCCTACTTGGGGAACTGAGGCTCATGGAGGTTTGATAACTTGCTTATATTAAAGCATTTTATTCTTCTGAATTAACATTGTTGTTTTCTGAGACTAGCAGGAAACAAGTACTATATAGCAAGTGTCCTAAATATCAAATATGTTCATTTCACGCAGGACTTTCCTTTATAATCTCATTCTAACTTAAGAAAAAATGAACCAAAAATATAGTGGTGAACTTTTTACTGCCTAGTTTCCTGAGATCTAAAAATAGTAATTATCTTTATAAATGATTAACCAAAGGGGGTTAAAGAATCTTTTTGGATCCTTTTATCATTACTTGAATCAGTTCAAGATAACAAGTCCTTAGATGATTTACAACCAATGTTGGTTGACTAAGTAATGAACACTGGGCTAGTTAGTACATAAACATAAAATAACACTTCTCTCAGGGAGTTCCCAATCCCAGGGTTGAGAAATGACAAAGTTATAAATTCCAGATGACCCTACCAATCGGAAGATGACAGAGCCTGACTGAACCAAGAGAAAGTGGCACGCATGCAGGTGTGTAGCCCTCGAAGGTGGTAGAGGAACCTGTGAGCTAAGGAAGGTTAACAGCCACCATGTGAAGGCTTAGCAGGACTTAGGGGAGGAAGTTTCCAGAGGGAAGGAGGCAGCAGAGCAGAGTGAGCATGTGTACACTACGTATAGTCCTGGGCTGGACAGTGGGCAAGAGCCAGCGGGAGTGGGCCTTCCCTTCAGCAACTGCCGAAGACTCCACATACTAGGCACCGTGGTGTGACCTTTAGGTCCTGGGAAGCCCTAGAAGGCTTCTGGACGGAAAAGGAATGAGTCCTTGTGTTAGGACAGCTAAGTTGGGGCCAGCATGCAGAAAGTGCTGCCACAGGCAGGAGGCTCAGTTGGGAGACTAAATTTAACTGGAAGGTAAGAACTCTAGTTATTTTTTTCCCCTGTGTGGTATGAAAATAAAAATGAAAAGGGCAAATAAGAGAATTTTGTACTTCCAAATTAGTGGGTATTGTGTCTATATCCTGGAAGAAAAAAAATACCATCTTAAAAGATCATTGATTAAAAGAAGGTATCACTTAGTATAAATTAATGAAATGATGTAACTTTAAATAATTTGAATGATGAAAAGTAGAGTACTGCCAACAGCTATTGGGGTCATCATCTCCTTCAGCCCAGAATAACATACCTCCCTGGTTCACCCAGGGCACCAGTCAGGAGATGCCTGCTTTGGTCCCAATTCCGGGCACAAGGGGATTTCCACTGCACCACAGGCCTCTCTGATTTCCCCCCTTTGAAATTGCCTGGTCTGGGTGTGATGGCCATCCAGGTTAGAGCTCAGACATTTACCACCTGATGTGATTTTATCTTTGTTTGTAAGCAACTGTCTTGTTTTAAGAGGGCTTAAATTCTCCTGAAACTGACAATGTGCAGCTGAGTGGATCTGTGGGCCTGGTGCACTTGCTCATTCAAAGGGCAGGAGGAAGTTCCCAGGCAGCTGGGGAGGCTGGGCTCACCTCTCTTTGCATGGAATGGTTTACTTTTTCAAGCAACACTTAGTGCCCTAGACTGCTACTGTATCGTTTTTTTCTTTCAACTATTTCTCTTTTCTTTTCCTTCTTAGGATGTTTTCATTGGATTTGGAGGAAATGTGATCAGGCAACAAGTAAAGGACAACGCGGAATGGTACATAACTGATTTTGTAGAGCTTTTGGGAGAACTGGAAGAATAATAGCAAGTTTTATACAGTTCATAACAACTTCAGGTTAATTTTTAAAAGTTATACAGTTTGATACTGTTTGCTTCCAATTGCCTATTAGAACTTAATGTATGAATTTGGTATTGATTATCTGTACTTCTAAGTAAACTATAGTTACACCTCCTAGAAAATCGCTCTTTTTAAGTGTAGTTCCATTATTATTATGACCATTAATTACCTGGAGAGTTTTATAATGTGAATTCTTTATGAATTTCCTGGCTATATTTTATTTGAAGCCTTTTGAAGATGGATAGTAAATTAAACACCTTCACTATTGGAAATATGGATTAGGCAGTGAATTTAAGTGAATATTAAGTGAACTGAAGTGAATATTCGTTTTCCCTTTGGCATATAAATAAAAGTTCATCCATGTATCAGAACAGATTGGTAGAAGTTTCAGTTCTGCCTATCATGTATCTCAATATCCAGTATTTCAAGTACTTTAAGTGTCTGAGTAGAAACAACCTCCAGGCAAGGAACCAAGGAGTCGAGACCCGCCCCTGGAACACAGTGCTTGTCACAATGTACCCACCACTCCGCCCCAACCAATCTTTGCACTGAGTGAAGCCTTGGCCAGAGGGATGGAACTTCTTTTAGTACTTCTTGGAATTTGTCATTTAGGGAATGTTACAAAAGCTTCAAAAAAAAATAACAATGGAAACTTAAACAAAAGTACTGACCTTAAAAAATGGATATTTGATAATCATGTGAAGAACTAAAAAGTTTTACTCATCCCAAATGAAGATCAGCGTTTTTCCCTAAATGAATTAAGAAATAACTCCTAATAGCATATATGAACAATTTCTTACAGATGAGTTGGAAGGACCTTAAAGCCAGGTTCATGTGTATTCTGAGCAGGGCCAAGAAAGGGAAATTTCAGAACATGCTTTGATACTCTGAGATTATATACCTTCCCTGGTGGAAAAATTGGGGAGGATAAAAACACAGGTTTAGGAAGAGGCATGCAGTGAGTGGATACTGTTGGATAATTTAGTAGAAAAGGCCGGAAGGATTTAATATTGAAATTATTTGGAAAATTTATAATTTAACCAAATAATCAGATAATTATTTAGTCAAATAATCAATTCGGATCAATCAAATTTCCTTCAAAATCAGAGTGTCTATAGCAGAAACATGAAATAGGTTTGACAACATTTAAATGAGGCCACAAACAATGAGGTGTAGCTTCATAATTGTGAATGCTTATGGGGAATTCCAGAAGCTATTTAGCAGTGCTGTGCTCTGGGCAGGACTAGGCATGCCAGGGCTGTGAAGCATGCTGCAAACTGCCTCAGCCTTCACCATGACCTGGTGTGCAGGAACTGGAGCAAGCCGTCAGTGGATAGATGGAAGAGTAAGGAGCTTTTGGCCACAGGGCAATGGCCTGACTAGGAGGCGCACACTGAATTTAGTTCATAGGAATCTGATCTGCTGAAAAATCATGATGTCTGTATAGAACCTTTATACCAAGTACACAACCCCTCCTCTGGCCCACAGGCTCTCAGCAAGCAGCACAAAAGCAGCATGCACAATCCCTTCTTTGTTATGTTGGAGGAGTGAGTCTGAAATGATGCAAGAACTGTGCTAACCTGTTTTCTAATTCTGGATTCACTGGAAACAGCTACAGAATGGCTCTCTCAGGAGTTATGTACATGGTTACACTAGGGCAGGATTCAGAAAATGGTGGTAGTGTTTATACGGCCTCCTATCCTTCTGACACTGCTTTTCATTTTGATTATGAACACTTCTTATGTAAACAGAAAAAGTTAAGAATTGGGGTCATAAAGTAAAGAATTGAAATTTGTCACGGTATTAACAAATTGGAGTTGGAACATTAGAAGTCCCTCAAAACTTTTTTTTTTTAATTGAGTTAATGATAGGTTACAATCTTGTGTGATTTCAGTTGTACATTAATGTTTGTCATTCGTGTTGTAGGTGCACCACTTCACCCTTTGTGCCCACCCCCCACCCCGCCTTTCCCCTAGTAGCCACTAATCTGTTCTCTTTGTCCACATTTTTAAATTCTTCATATGAGTGGAGTCATACAGAGATTATCCTTCTCTAACTGGCTTATTTCACTTAACATAATTCCCTCAAGGTCCATCCATGTTGTTGCAAATGGGATGATTTTGTTCTGTTTTGCAGCTGAGTAGTATTCCATTGTATATATGTACCACATCTTCTTTATCCATTCGTCTGTTGATGGACACTTAGGTTGCTTCCATGTCTTGGCTATTGTAAATAATGCTGCAGTGAACATTGGGGTGCATAGGTCTTTTGGAATTGCTGACTTCAAGCTCTTTGGATAGCTACCCAGTAGTGGAATGGCTGGATCATATGGTAGTTCTATTTTTAATTTTTTGAGGAATCTCCATACTGTTTTCCATAGTGGCTGCACCAGTTTGCATTCCCACCAGCAGTATATGAGGGTTCCATTCTCTCCACAACCTCTCCAACATTTGTTACTATTAGATTTAGATATTTTTGTCATTCTAATGGGTGTAAGGTGATATATTAGTATAGTTTTGATTTGCATTTCCCTGATGATCAGCGATGATGAGCATCTTTTCATGTGCCTATTGGCCATCAGTATATCTTCTTTGGAGAAATGTCTGTTCATGTCTCCAGCCCATTTTTTGATCGGGTTGTTTGATTTTTTGTTGTTGAGTTGTGAGAATTCTTTATATATTATGGATATTAAGCCTTTGTCAGATATATGACTTGCAAATATTTTTTCCCAGTTAGTGGGTTGTTTTTTTGTTTCAATCCTGTTTTCATTTGCCTTGAAGAAGCTCTTTAGTCTGATGAAGTCCCATTTGTTTATTGTTTCTGTTGTTTCCCTTCTCTGAGAAGACATGGTGTCTGAAAAGATCCTTTTAATACTGATGTCAAAGAGTGTACTGCCTACGTTTTCTTCTCGAAGCCTTATGGTTTCAGGTCTCACATTTAGGTCTTTGATCCTTTTTGACTTTATTTTGGTGAATGGTGAAAAAGAATGGTCAATTTTCATTCTTTTACGTATGGCTTTCCAGTTTTCCCAGCACCATTTGTTGAAAAGACTTTCTTTTCTCCATTGTATGCACTCTGCTCCTTTGTCGAAGATAAGCTGTCCATAGATGTGTGCTTTTATTTCTGGGCTATCAATTCTGTTCCATTGATCTGTGCACCTGTTTTTCTACCAGTACCATGCTGTTTTGATTACTGTAGCTTTGTAGTAAGTTTTGAAGTCAGGGATTGTAATGCCTCCCGTTTTGTTCTTTTTTCTCAGGATTGCTTTAGCAATTTGGGGTCTTTTGTTGCCCCATATAAATTTTAGGATTCTTTGTTCTATTTCTGTAAAGAATGTCATTGGGATTCTGATTGGGATAGCGTTGAATCTGTAGATTGCTTTAGGTAGAATGGACATTTTTAAGCTCCGCCCGGGCAGCAGACAAAACTCTCTGTGTGCCGTTAGCAGAGGGGCCACGCCGAGCATTCACGGCTCCGGGAGAGGCCCGGAGAGAATCCCAGAGGGCGGGGCGACCCCCAGCTGCCATTGCCCGCCCCTTGGGGCTAGAGATTGCTAGAGATCTCGGAGAGGACCGGGGCGGGGGGAACTTTCAAAGGCCGGTTCTGCGACCCGGAGGGGAAGCGCCGGAGTTCCACCAGGCAGCAGACAGAACTCTCTGTCTGCCATTAGCAGAGGGGCCACGCCCAGCATTCAGGGCTCCCGGGAGAGGCCCGGAGAGAAGCCCAGAGGGCGGGGCGACCCCCAGCTGCCATTGCCCGCCCCGTGAGACTAGGGATTGCTGGAGATCTCGGAGAGGACTGGGGCTGGAGAGAGTTCCAGAGACCCAGCTTAGTAGCCTAGGGGGAAACCCTACAGGCTCACAGCAGCCTTAGGGAAAGCCTCTGCACAGCACCAGTAGAAGGCACCCAGCCGCCAGCCACAAGGCTGGAAGACCCCAGGGCAAAAGCAGCATAGCTAGGTGTACTAACCACAGACTGTAGAAGATGCCAGTAGCTCTCCTGCGACCCATAGAGGACAAGTGAGATTCGGTGGGTGCTGACAGCAACGGAGCGACAAATATAAGTGATCCCACCCCTGGCCGCTGGAAAAGCCCATAACACTGTTGCAGACCCCAAGGAGAGAGCACATCTAGGTGGGCTGCAACAGTAGGCACCTGCAGCCTGAAGCCCCCCTGTGACAGCCCCCACAGCAGAGGAGGGAATCCAAAGGGCCACTGTGGCTACGAAGAGGGGCCCAGGCCCAGTTAGCAACTACAGACAGGGTTCCTGGCTGGTGAAGTATAAACAGCTGCTCCCCCCACTGCAGCAGCTGAAACAAGTGAAAGGAGCAACTAAACTCTATCTCCATGCGGAGGCACAAATCAACAACATCAAGCAATATGAAAAAATACATTAAGTCTCCAGAACAGAAAGAAAGTAACAAATACACAGAAAACAATCCCAAAGAAAATGAGATATATAACCTAAATGATGATGACTTCAAAACAGCCATCATTAAGATTCTCAATGAGTTAAGAGAGAATTCTGACCGTCAACTCAACGAGTTCAGGAGCTATGTCACAAAAGAGTTTGATACGATAAAGAAGAACCAAACAGAAATACTGGAAATGAAGAACACAATAGAGGAGATTAAGAAAAATCTAGATGCTCTGAACAGTAGGGCCGATAATATGGAGGAAAGAATTAGCAATTTGGAAGATGGCAATATAGAATTGTTGCAGGCAGAGGAGGAGAGAGAAGCAAGACTTAAATGAAGAAACTCTCCGAGAATTATCAGACACAATTAGGAGATGCAACGTAAGGATTATAGGTATACCAGAGGGAGAAGAGAAGGAGAAAGGGGCAGAAAACCTATTCAAAGAAATAATGGCTGAGAACTTCCCAAATCTGGTGAGGGAGATGGATCTTCAGGTGACAGAAGCCAATAGATCTCCAAACTTTATCAATGCAAGAAGACCAACTCCACGGCATATAGTAGTGAAGCTAGCAAAAGTCAACGACAAGGAGAAAATATTAAGGACAGCCAGGCAAAAGAAACTAACCTACAAAGGAACCCCCATCAGGCTATCAGCAGATTTCTCAGCAGAAACTTTACAGGCTAGAAGAGAGTGGAATGATATATTCAAAAATCTGAAGGACAAAAATCTACAGCCGAGAATTCTCTACCCAGCGAAAATATCCTTCAAATACGATGGAGAAATAAAAACTTTCCCAGATAAACAAAAATTAAGGGAGTTCATTGCCACAAAACCTCCTCTTCAGGAAATCCTCAGGAAAACCCTCATTCCTGAAAAATCCAAAAAAGGAAAGGGGCTACAAAACCAAGAGCAGAGGAAATAAGTAGAAGGACAACAACAGAGAGTAGCAGCTC